TTGATCTACAGCCTCACAGTGTCCTCACCAAATGAGTCTCCCTTAGGTTTAGTCCTTTTGGGCACTTCTATCTCTCTCTCCCCAGGACTCTGAAGAAAAATTAGAGTCTGGATCTAAATTCCACGAGTTTCTGCCATTTGCCACATTACTCGACCTTAAGTTTTCTTTCACTTCTTTCCAAATTTATAGACTCATAATAGAATATGAGTCTATTCTATTAGACTCATAATAGAATTCAGAATTAGAGCTTGCACTATAACAAAGTCCACAAAAATGTCATAAAAATTAAATTTCAGTACTTTACATAGAACCCTACCCGTCCCAAACAATAACTGTGTGCTAGGAAGGTGGAAGCAGCCATAAAAACAAATCATGGACAATTATTTTACAGCTCAAATGTTTCAGCAGTAAATGTGTATCAACTCATTTGTTGGGGATAGAAGTAACAGTGATGGGACTGCCTGTCCTGTCCTGTTCGATTTCAGGGCGCCTCTCTTCCTGACAGGCTCCCCTGCCTGATTGTATGCCACCTCTTGGCCACAAACTCAAGTTTGACATCTAGCTTAGTTCTTAAAGAACTTTGTCCAGATCTTGACAAAGTTCGTATCTCTCTCTCCCTAGAAGATAGTCACTCCAATTGTACTTCACTGCAATCCACTTGAGAGTCCTGTGTACATTTAATTATATATGCAATTGGTTCCTCATTTAATTATGGAAAAGCATACAATTATTTTCTGATGGCCACTGTCTATATCACCCATTATCATCTCATGGAAGAATTATGCTGATATTTTTTATCTAATCCACTGATGTGATTTGTGGCGCTTAAAAAAGATATGTGTATATTATTTGATTTCTTGTCATGCAGTATTTATAACATGTTTTCTGACATATTACCTTGTTCTTAGTAGCCCTTGATATATCTTTAGATATGGGTAACTTTGCCAAGTTCTGGCATTGTGTGGGTGTCTGCTTTCTTATGGATAAAACTTGTAAGGACATCCTGTGTGAAAGAAATGACTACTAGAAAAGATAGAAGGATGTTTTAATCTATTAAATTTGGCCGAGTTTCACAATTTTCAGTTTTACTGAGTCAGGCTTTGAGAACAAGCGGATTATCTTAAATGATTTTTTAAATTATATATTCTATTGATGTCTATCAAGAAATTAAAATTCCCTCACATCCCCACTCAACTTTGTCTAATCTCCCCAACTAACTTTCTTATTTTTTTAATTCATGAAGTTTATTGGTACATTTTAGGTAAGCAATATGATGACATTCGTCTTTGGGAATTGTACCTTTACATGATATATCTTGGTTCTTATTTTTTTCCCATTTCCCTGCCCTCCCTTCACCCCCTCTACCTCTCCCTATTTACCAAGATTGTGTTTCCAGTTTTTTCCTTTTCTCATATTTTTTTCCTCCCTTGTCCCCTACCCCTCTCACTTCCCCTTCCCCTTTGGACCTGTTCTTCCTATTTCACATTGTCTATTATACAGTTTGATCCTCATTCTAACTTTCTTCTTGTCTCTTACCTTTTGTAAACAGCTAATGAGTTCGGACTACGTCTCAATATACAATTGCTATTTATTGATAAACTTTCTATAATTCAGCTGGTTCCTTTAACTAATTGGAAGAATAATCAAGCATAAGACACACTTTACCTTAGGTGTCATAGCCTTCCTGTAGTTTTCTAAGCTGAGTATTACTGTGATAATCTACATCCTTAGGCCAATAATTTATAAACTAACTTTAAACTGAAAGGCACCTGCATAGCAGGCTGTTTAACAAATACAAGACCAGGGGTTTAACCTAGTATCAAGAATATTTCCCTGCATTCTCTTTGGTCTTACAACTTTGCACATTATTGCTAAATAAAGATATTTTTTCAATACAAACTCTTTTTTATTTTCAAACTCATCTACTCTGTATTTTTAAAATCCATTTGAGCTTTTGGTGTCTTAAAGAAAAATTCTGGAGTGGTAATTACAGTACACAATTTGGCAGTATTCAAACTATGAATCTGAATTTAATCTCTTTCTTGTCTTATTTTTCTCAGTATCACATGGCTTCTAATTACATGATGAAGTCATTAAAGTTAAGTCTTTCACATTTATGACCAATTAGAAGCTTTTCTATTCTAGGATTTTCAAAATAAGGAAATTCTTTGAGGCTAATTTAATAAATAGAATCTTAAATTGATGCCTCAAAATATCTTCAAGATGGATAGAAACTGAGCTAAGGAGCCAAATACATTCCTAAATTAAAATTTAAACTACATAAATATTTTCTAATTAAAAAATCAGTTTTGTCTAATCTAATACTCAGACCCAAAAAGTGGGGAGGAGCCCCTGGCTCTTTTTAATCTACAGATATATAAAGATAAATGTATTTCTCAAGATCCTCTGAATTTAAAGTAGTAGATTATCTTCAAAGTTGCTTAGATATAAAGTAGAGTTTATTAGAAGGATTCTGAGTTTCCTTGTCTCATCAAAGGACAGCTTAAAAATAAGAAGAGAGTAAAGGACTCCTGGAACAGGGGATCAGAGACAGGACCCCTCTCCATGCTCTCTTTCCCTGCCCTTTCTGGTGCTTTCTGCCTGATAACTTCCTTTGCTTTATTACTCCTTCGTGTGTTAGGAAACACGGCTGACAGTGTTTTCTAATTTAACCTCTTTGGCTGCTACCATTGCCTCCTCTTACTCACAGTTCCAATGTATTCAGTTAGCCTACACTGGGACCAGTGTCCTGCCCTGGTGCAGGCAGTCCTACGTCAACAGAACATAGTATGGTGAGATTCTGTAAACAACAGTAACGATGACTATAATAACAACAAAGTGCTCCCATGTTGGTTAGGAATTTCTATAGCACAATTACAGGAAAAAAAATCAACCTGCCTTAAACAGGAAAGAGCCTTAACTCTGCTTGATTTAGCGTCTTAATGATGTCATCAAATATGTTCCTGCTCTTGTTCTTACTCTGCTACTCCAGTATGAGCCTTGCCATGAGGCTGGCTCCTCTCCCAGCTGTAGGGTAGCTTTCCTCAAAGCAGGGGCTCAAAAGAAAGAAAGATGACATCTGTCCAGCTGTAGGGTAGAATTGACTTGATATACAGATGGACAATAAACATGGAAAGTATCATTAGTCAGGGACATGCAGATCAAAACCACGATAAGCTACCACTTCCCCATCACTAGGGTGGCTATGATTTTAAAAGTAGACAATAACAAGTGTTGACAACAATTTAGAGGAAGCAGAACCTTATACGTTGTATGATTATAAAATGTACAGCGACTCAAAAAAACAAAGTGGCAGGGTCTCAAATTATTAAATATGGAGTTAATGCCTGATCCAGCAGTTCTACTCCTAGCTATATACCCAAGATAAGTGAAAACTTATCAAGGCTTGTCAACTGATGATTTTTTTTTTCAGTACCAGGGGTTAAACCGAGGGCTTTTATACTGAGCTACATCTTGTCCTTTTTATTTTTTAATTTTGAGACAGAGTCTCACTAAATCACTAATTTGCCCAGCCTAGGCTCAAACTTGTGATCCTCCTGGCTCACTCCCGGAGTGCTAACATTACAGGCATATCCCATCACACTTGACTCTGATGAATGAATTTTTTAAAAATGTGATATAACCACATAATGAAATATTATGCTGCCATAAAAAGGAATGAAGTATTGACATATGCTGCCCCATGAATGAACCTCAAAAACATTATGTTAAGTAAAAGAAACTAATCACAAGAATTTACATACTGTGTAGTTTTGTTTCTGTGAAATGTTCAAAATAGGCAAATCCGTGGATACAGAAAGTCCATTTGTGGTTGTATAGAGCTGGCAGAGCAATAAAAATAGCAGAGGGAATAGAGAGTGATTACCAGTGGGTGTGAAGTTGTCTACCGGGTGATGAAAATGTAGAAGGGAGAAGAAGGTCGAATCCCCAAAGTGCTGTGCAGCTGTGAATTGGTAACACCTTTCCAAAAGGCCTCTTGGTAAACCTGGGAAAGAAGCTTGCCAGGAACTCAAACTCTAAAAGTTTATTCTAATGACAGAATAAGAAACTGCTTCCAATATTTGTGTCCAACAATATTTGTTTTGAGAAAATATTTTTAATCAAATGTAGAGAACATAAAATTTATTGAACATGGAGAACTGACTGAACATAGTAATCTTGAATTTGATGTATGTATTAATCAATGTTTTAAGACTAATCACATAGAAATGCATGGTATTATGTTATTTTATGTTAATAAAAATTGGGTTATAAAAGATTCCAAGGCATATGATCCAGTCAGCATATAGTCACCTGTCAAAATGGCCAGATAAGTTTAGTTGTAAAATTCTTTTTAATTTCCCACTTATTCTGTTTTATATATATATTTGTTTTATAATTTAAAAACAGAAAAGTGACATGTAATTTTACAATCGTTAAAGCCTTAAGCTAATGCTATTTGGGTGAACACTGAAAAACTGTGAAGGGATTTCCATGGCAGGAGTCTCCTGTGTGCACACACGCTTTGAGCGGGATGCTGTGGACATTTGTGGCTGAGTGGCTTTTTGCAGGAGGAGGCCTTGGCCTGTGAGATGGCTCTGTCCACTGCAGCATGCTTATCAGCATCTCTGGCTTCAGTGGGACAGCAAAAAATGTCTTCGGATGTTGCCAAACATCCCCTGGGAGACAAGTTGTCCCTGGTTTATCCTTACTACACTAAATGAATTATCTCATAAAAGAAGACAATTTTGAATTTTTTTCAGGGTAGAATATCTATCGTGAAGTTTGCCATTTTCTCATGCCTGTCCTTGTTTTGAGTCTGCTGTAAACATTGTCTCATCAGGAAACAAAGCTGGAAGCTGACCATTCCAAGTTGTCTCTTGGTTCTTACTTTAATTTTCTATCAGTTGCTCGGATCATCCTAACATTTTGTTTTACTGTTCACAGCATTCATTGTGTTGTTTCTGATCATAGCGTCACCTGTTTCATACCCTGCACAGGTCGCTCTGCCCTCACCGGAAGCTGCGACAGTGACGGTGTGCACATCCTCAGGGGTGACAGCGTCTCCTCCACACCTGTCGCTACCGTGTGTGGTGAGGAGATGTTGGATCCCATGACGCTGGCTGCCCCAGTGCTGCTTAACTTCTACTCCAATTCGCATGTCACGGACTTCGGATTCAAGTTTTCCTATCAACTCATCTGTGAGTAGCTATAGTGATACCGTTTGCAATTTTCTTAGTTTTTCTTGAGTAATTTACACAGCGAGTTTTCATTGTGATTCAGTAATCACCGACTTGAAGATGCAGAGATTTTAAGGGAAAAAATGATCAATTAGATATGTAGTACAAAAATATTGAGATAATCTTTTCTTAAAAAGAGACATTTTTATGAATTCTGGCTGGAACTTCTCTTTGAAAATCAAATGGGGATTGAGATTTATTTTGTGATTTAAGTTAAAGTGATAATTCTTGCTGTCTTACTTTTCACTCATTATATAAAGATGTCTTTAGGCTTGAATCATTCTGAAATGTCCAGATGCCTCTTTTATTCCCCAAGTCACTTTGTTAGTAGGTAAAATAATATTTTGTCAATTTAGAAGACATATAAGAGAATATCTGTATGGATCTTCTGGTAAGAAAGGATTCTTTTAAGCGACATGCAAAATGCACAAGCCCTAAAGGCAAAGAAAAAGGTTGATACATTCAACTATGTTATTATAATTTACAGTTTTTCTCTAACAAAAGCAGAGGGAAAAGACAAGCCACAGGCTGGGTAAAGGCCTTTGTAAGTCTAAAAATATCATAAGATGATTTCCCTATCCTGAATCGTCTTCTCCCCTTCTGCTTGGGAAGTCTGCTGACATCGTTTCCCCACAGCTTCTCCACATCAGTCAATCAGACATACAGCTTGTAAAATCTTTCCTTGCTTTGCTTTGTCTTTGTTTAACGAAACCCATTGCTAATGTTACAAAGGTAAATAGCTTCCCGACAAATAAATTACTTTTTCCATCCACAGGGAAGACTAAAAATGTCTTTTCACTTGTGAAAAGGGTCTTCATAATTTGTTCACATTAGCTGCTCTCTGAATCCTGAACGCTATCATTTGTAAAGTAGGCTTCTGTGTGGCTTTGTTGGCCTGCTGGCACCACTGATAGACTGAGCGATTAATATTTCTTCCCTCTTGCCTTGTTGAACAAAAAGGAGAATATATTTGCTTTCTTCTTTTGAACAACTGCCGCTTTGGAGAGTTAAACCCCTGCTTTATATTCTGCTGCTCTTTAATCTCTCCTTTTTCTAAACACGGTATCCAAGTTTCAATATATCTGGTACCTAAGTCTCACTTAAAGAGCATTGTTGATCCTGACTCCAAGTCTTGACAGTGTATGAAGATGGAACTTATTTAGGCACTGATAAACTTTCACAGACCACATAATTGTGTATTGAGTGAAACAGAGTATTCGGTGCCCAACTTAGACATTTAATTCCTGAGAGATGTACCCAGGGTCTGAGTGCATGAATTCTTACAGGCATGGAGAGAGGTGCTTTCCCTGCAATGAGCTCAGCTGAGGCACAAATGATAAATAAAGAAAGAGCCATAAATGGCAACCACAAATTGTTTCTCATGTCCTAAGAGGTGCAGGTGGAGCATGTCCCTTGATGGTATATAAGCCACAGAAATATCAGGATACACTAACGTCATCGTAATTTTGGAATCATAAAGTAAACCTAGGCCTTTCTTTCTGTGAGAGCAAAGCCCTTGCCATCTTTAGTGGCTCAGTCTGATCCTTCTCATATGTAGGCCGAAGCAGAAATACTATAGTGATTTGATGTTGTGAATAGAGGCGCTGTATTACACTTTAATGGCTTTTGTGATATTGACTGGTGGGTCTAATTAAAGACTCTGGGCAGTTAATTGTGGAGTCAGAGTGGGGTGTGGGCCCAGCTTCCTTACGCATATGGAAGATAAATTATACAGATTTGGGCTAGCATAGTTTTTACCAATCTCACAACTAAATATAAAAACAGGAAACTTAAGAACTATGCTTCTGACCCATAGAGGCAACAAAGCTTGAAAGTTCTGAAACTGATTTCGAATACTTTGCCTTATAATATTCTATTCTTAATTGAAGACAGGTGAATCTGTATTTTTAAGGATTTCTAGGCTGAAGTGTTTTTTTTCCTAGATCTCTATGGACAGAACATGCCTAAACTTCCAGTTATTGGCATCATCTCTCTGGCAGTCTGTCAGTTAAATAGTGGGCTGGGCAGTTATACCACACACATGAAATGTTCTTTCTCCTTATTTTCACTCTGGCTGTTAATTTGACAGATACTCCTTTCTAAAATGTGCCTTAAGATAGTCCTCCCTGTTTTTACTCCTTTACTGTCTCTTATGTTTTCCCCAATGGAAAAATCAAAATTATTTGAAAACGCAATGAAGGGGATTTAAGCTACTTTAAAAAAAATAATTATTATCTCCCTTAAGGGAAAATGCGCAACCATATAAAATATCTTAACATTTTTATTCCATACGGCGGCTAGTAACTGTTCTGTGCGACTTTCTTTGCAGCCTGTGGTGGGACATACAACGCATCGGCTGGGATCATCACCAGTCCTTCCTCCTCTGAGAACTACCCAAACAACATCTACTGCCTGTATAAGATCTTCGTCAGAAACGACAGAGTGGTTCTGCTCAAGTATGTGAGACAAATTTGCTTTCTCAGGAAAACAAAATTCTTTCAGCTTTGTTAGCAGAAAAGCTATTCCTTTGCTGATTCCTTCCTTCAGTGATCTAGAAGGCAATTTAGGGAAGGACGGGGAGATTCCTGCATGGTTCGAGAACCTGGGAAATCCTCCTCCCCCCATGCAAGCCAAGGATGCAGAGAGGGAAAGCTGGCTTCCCACCCGTTACACATGGTTGCTATAACTTTCCAGCAGTGAAAGGGGGCTTCATATAACAGGTTATCAGGTTCTAAGCCCATCATGAAGTCGGAGAGGGTAGGAAGGGCTAGAGAAAGCAATCAGCACTTGTTGGGCATTTATTATGCATTGGAAACTTGGATGAACACTTTCCTTCATTGTCTTCTGTCACCCTTAAACAGCCCTGAGAGATGCATGTGTGTCTCACATTTTACCAACGAGAAAACTGAGGCTCAGGGAAGGTCCCATCACTTTCCAAAGCAGCACACACTTAAATGACAAGTCAGACTCTCAGTCTGTGTCAAGTGTCCTCCAGACACCGTGTCCTGAGTATTTCCCCATGCCGTCTCTCAAAGATAAGTTCTCTGCTAAGAAACTGATTTCCAGCTATGCCTCTGAACACCTGAAAACTGGTGCTGTAAGAGATACATTGCATCCTTGGTAAATTCTCCCTCTAATTCTGTGTGATCAAAATGAGACAGATGAAGGGGATGCAGCTCCCTGTGCCCCAGGGGGACAAAGTTCAAGACTGCTTTTACCTGAAATGGCATATCTCTGACCCTTGTGTCTCAGTGACACACAATACCTGGCAGGAAATTCAGAGAGAGATGTAAATTTCTTGTTACAGCAATCACATAAGACCCAGTAGAGTTTTGGTCATTCTTTTCTACCACTAGTTTTATATGTCCATATCTTTCATAAGAAGCATGTTCTCTCATATTCCTGCTGTTAAAATTATCATAATAATAACTTCATTTTATTCAGCATCTACTGTGTGCCAGATACCATCATTTGGTTTTCACACACTGTTGCACTCGATCTTGCTATGAACGTTCATTTTAAAAGAGAACAATGAGGCTGCCAGCACAAGGGGGAAGCTATAATTTTAAAACCAGCATTTCTTCCATGCTATTATTCTAACATTCTTCCCACAAGTAATAAATGGAATAATAGCACCACTTTATCTCACAAAATAACAAGGGAAGAACAAATGCCATATTTTGGAGGGATAAATTAGTTCAGCTTGTCAAAATATGGTCTCAGGTTGACTAGAACATGTCATAAACTGTCAATTTGCTGATGTGTTGGACTGTATCATACTCATCTTTACCTAATTAAGCTCCTTTCACAGTTTTTGGTATATTATATGTAGTTACTCAGAATATGTTGGCTAAACTTTTGAACTAATCACTGAAGTGGTATCTTACATACGATATTTCCTACCAAGTAAAGGTTAGATGTTCTGCTTTCTGTTTTTACCTTATGTGTGTGTAATTACAATAACTAAGGAATTTAATAGGGATTCAAAGGAGAGCATCAATATTGACAAGATACATTTCACAGGTTCCGTAATTTTGATGTGGTTCCCTCTGCCGTCTGCTCCAATGACTTCGTGGCAATTTATGATGGGTCTAACATCAGTGATCCCCTTCTTGGCAAATTCTGTGGGTCCAAGCTTCCGCCAGTTATTAAGAGCAGCAGTAATAGCATGCTTCTGGTGTTCAAGACAGATGCTGTTCAAACGGCAAGAGGCTGGAGGGCAGCCTTCCGGCAAACGTTAGGTAAGAACTTGGGTCATGGAAATGTTTTTCATGCCTGTTACCTTTCTGCTTCGTTTAATTTTCTTTCCCACCTGATCAAAGTTTCATTTCATTTGAGCATAGAAGAATATGTCCCATAAAGTCTTGGTTTTAAAAATTATGTATAATTTATTTTGGTAAAAGAAATCATCCAACATACTTATCTATTCAGTACACAAAGGCAAGCTCAAGGGTGGTAGATGTTTAGGCTCAACCATTCACAAACAGGATCTGAGCCTCGCTTTACTCCAAAGAAGGGGTAGAAATGGAGCCTAAAGTCAGGTAGAGATCAGACCAAGATGAAGGCCCCATGGACTATGCCAAATTTATCCTTAAAATGATGAAGACTCTTGGAGAATTTTAAATAAAGACCCTATGGACAGACTTGACTGTAAAAGTTTAAGGCTAAAGGACCCCATAAGCTAAGACAGAAGAAGCTTATTGCAGATGGAAAATGCCCAAGGCTCAGAGTAACACAAGAGAGAATGGAGGGAGAGGAAAAAATGGAAATCTCGGTTATTTAGAAGGTAGAATACAGTGGAAGTAGATCATTTGAAATTTGGTCATATGCTACATGAGGACATACATAGAGGATGAGGTCCTAGGGGTAACTTATTGGCTGCTGGTGCCTTAGTCTAAGATTCAAGGGAGAAATGTTATAGTTTCTGCTATTTTGAGCTGGAGGGCATGTCCAATATTGAAATGGAGATACCAAGGAGGAAGCCGAAGCTTGCAAACAGCTTGGGCAGAAAGAATAGTGGCAATTAAAGCTAGGTGTGAGTTTAAATTGAAAATAACACCCCAGTTTATTCCTCCTGAATGAGAGAGATAATTATCTGCACAAAATTAGCTCAGAAGTTCAAATCATTTAAAAGAAAAGGTAATCAGTTCTCTGTTTAATTATACTAATAGCATCAATGGCATAATTCGTATTTTACTTCAGAGGATGTTTTGATTCTTCCATTGGAATATTGATGTGATTAATGTTCTAAAATTTAACAGCTCCCCAAGCAAATCTCACACACTGAAGACTCGGAAATACCTGAGCACTTGCCTACAATAATGATTCTGACTCATCCTTCCAATTCTTTCTCTCTACCCTGTGGTGTGAATAATCTTGATCTCTCGGAGATGAAAGCAGAACTTAGCTGAAACTTCTTTATATTTGATATGTTCTCTTTTGTGCATTTCTTGAAGAAGTAATTTGATATGTGTGCTTCAAAGGCTCCCCCTAAACTTCAGACACCTTGATAACTGCGTTAGAAAATCATTTTACCACCTACCCTCCTTAGCTATCTCAACAAGAACTTGAAAGTAAGTCTCATGGATGGAGAGAATGTGTGGCCTAAATAAAATGGTGCAGTGAATACAAAAACCAGAAGGCTGTTTGGAAAGAAAAATTAACTTTTCTTTGGAGATTTTTTGTGCATGAAAGAACTCATACATTCTTGCCATTAGCACAGACTTTAGAATCAAATGATACATTTGCATTCATTCTGCTGCCTACTTTTAAGTTTTCTTTACCCTAATCTGCGCTCATACGACCATTGGAATAGCTTTCTTACAGCTTTCCACACCACTGCTGTCTGCCAGAAGCTCCCCAGGTTACCCAGGATTCTTGAGCCTAATTAAATTACTATGGCTTTCTGAGCTACAAAGCAGACATTTTTAGACTTACTGTGATTTTACTGAACTGAAGAAACAGAGGGAAAAATTGTACACTGTCAGGGCCATTGTCCCTGCATGAGTCATTGAACACTTACAGTAAATTACTGTTTTCCTCTGGGCTCAGTAGAGAAAAGGTTCAAGTGGAGAGTGCAGAAATGGAATTTCATTGCTTGTTAGCCTTGCGCTGCCACTGTGTTCCACGGGAGGACTTTTACTTCTTTATCTTCTGTAAAAATGCAATTGGCCACTCGGAAAGACTTAAAAAATTTGATGTCTCATGATGAGGTTTTAATGAAAACCTATATATTACAATTTTTTATTGAGTTTTAGGAAGTTTTTCAAGACCATCCATGTAAGTTTGCTTATTATTCTAAATAACTTTCAAATTTGTTTTGTTGTGATTGTGGTGAGGAAAAGAGAAGCAATAACCAAAGTAGCTTTAATTCTAGGGATTATAGAAATGTCTTAGTTACAGATCTGGATTTTTAAAGACTTAGAGTTGGCTAGTAGGATACACCATCCACATCTGTCTCATCCCTTGGAACCTTCCCTCCTTTTCCTGTGTGGAGAGGGAAACTGAATTTGTGGACCTGATAGTGAATTTTCATTTCTAAGCCTTAAGTTTGCCTGAAAAATAACATCTTCACTGAGTAATAATTGGTGTGAAGAGAAGGCCTTTGTAGTCTGACATTTTCATTTAGTTTTGTGTTAACTAAATCCCTAAAGTAGAGTTTTGAAACTTTTCTGCTTAGCACTTGGCAATAATTTATATATATATATATATATACTTTAATTTTTCAGAGTCCAGTAGACTCCATTTTGCATAATTATGTGATTATTAGGTAAATTTCTCCTTATGCATTTGTTTTTCTGGTGGTCTTAGAGAGTGGGAGAGAAACATCCCCTACTTGCTAATCACTAAATATGTAGTGAAGTTGGGTCGCTTCCTCTCATGGGATTTCTGCTCTTTGAGCCCAAGTGTGGGACATAAGTTGAGGGTAAAGCTAAGCAAGCAATATTCAAGAGCTAATATATGACCATAAGGTAAATTTTCCTTCTGTGTTTCCCCTGTACTTCAGCACTACATAGATAATCAATCCTGTCAGGTCTACAGTCCTCTGCTCTACCAGCTGAGGTATCGAAGGCTGCACAAGATAATCAATCCTGAATGATTGACAGCCAGCAATTGATCACACTGAGCTTCAAGGCTCTCCAAAACTCTAAAATTGCCTCCGAGTCTGAGCATTTCTCTGGACCAGTTCACGGCTCTTATTAGATTGCCAATGGCTCTGCAGTGCCATAAAGTTTAGCCCTTGGTTCTGTAGATTTGGCTGGGGCAGCCTGCTCTACATGACAGAACCAACGTTTAGAAGGATCCTTGATTCTAGTAACTTCTGTTAGTTTAGTTTCAGCCTTTCCTTACTAGCAGGGTCTGCTTTAGCTGTGACTCTGTTTATGTGTCACAGGTGAAGCACTTCACATTTGCAAATGTGTTTTTAAGCATCACAGCCTCAGTTTCTTGTTACTACATTGGTCTCCTGCCAGAGTGTTGCTTAGTTAGTCTTTCCACGGCATGCATTTCCTGGATAGTGCCGTTGTCATTTCATTTTTCTATAAAATAATGCATCCTGTAGCACTTCAGTAAAATTTCAATGTACAAAACTGCCCTTGGCTCAAATATGTTTTTAAGCATTTAAATCAGTGAGCTGCCCAGGAGAGAGTGAGGAGCGCCCCCTGCAGGAATCCACATCTTGGAAGGACCAGGTCCTGTCCCTGGGGAAGACACCGGTGTCAGGAACATGTGACATCAGTGGTGGAGACTCCACCCAAAGCCCTCGGCCCCTGCCACCCAGCCTACATGCTGAGGATGAGGGTCTCTACTGCCTTCCTCCGCTCAGGGTATCTGTTCCACAGAGAATGAGTCAGATGTCGTTAAGGTCAGACTCAGAACCTTTGCTGTGAAATCAAGGAAAAGCAGCCATGCACAGGCCTAACAAGGACAGAATTAATCATAGTCCAGCAGAGGTAGAAATGTCGCCAACTGGGAAGAGGTGTGGAGCAGGCTTCAGGTGTCTGTGATCCAACTCAGTGGTTATGTCACTGCTTGCTGATATGCCTTTGAGTCCTGTAACATTTCTCAACATTATCCACTAACACAGATTCATTTGCAGTAGTGCCACTTTCTGTCTTTTAAGACAGAAGCTGTTAAGGATGAAGTAGATAATTCCTATAAAGTACATTGGCTGTCAGAGAGGAAGATTATTTATTGGAAAGTAATAATAAAGTCCCAAATGTTTTATAAAGCTCCAAGATATGAGCCCCCAAAAGCAGAGGGTACTCGGGGTGGTGGTGGCCGGGATTGTCAGTCATTCTCCTCAAAAGCACTTCATGCTACAGTGATTTCTTCTTCTTTCTCAATTGGCACTTTGCCCTGACACCTAAGCATTAAGCCCTAAAGTACATTTTATAACTTATATCTGAAATCAAAAGCCAAATTCTAATTAGAACCTGAGGCCTTACAGACACAAAGCACATAATTTTTACTCCATCAATATAGGTATGAGCGGATTAAAGAATGAATGGATGAATGAATGATGCCTACTCCAAAAGTAGATTGTATTACATATTGTATATTTTATGTTACACCCTATCCAACTCATTCTCAAAATTTAATCGCAGTTCATATAGTGGAGCTCTTACATAGGGAAGGAAATTGGGTAACTTTCATTCAGACCAGGAGTACCGGATCAGACTCAGTATTGGGGTCGCAAGTGTTTTTAGCCTCTGGATTTCTGCCTGTCACCTTGACTTTGGAAAATATCTCTCAAACATAATAAAGGAAGAGAGTTGGAGTGGTAGGTATGAGTTGAGGGAGTTAAAAGGGCTCACTTCCAAGAAGATACAGTATAAGAAAAGGGCAGAAAGATAGAAAGCTCAAGAGTGTGTGGCCACAAATAAGAAAAATATGGTCTCAGCAACAAGAAAAATCTATCACGTTATTGTCAGACTTCAGCTTCCAGTTAAATTTAAATTTCACAGTTTTAGTGTTAAACTTTGAGAGGAATTCTGAAATTCTGCGGCTAAACGAGATAAGAATAAGCTTTCAAACATTCAGCAACATTAAAAAATACGTATGTCTGAAGACATCTCTTAGCAGCTGGTTATGAATGCCTAACCCCCATGACTTTTGGAAGTACAACTGCAATAAGATAGTTGGATTATCACTGAATAATTTGATAAATCACTCCTCACATAACTCTCAGGTTAGCAATAATAAGAGAATTAGTCAAAAGCAATGAGGAAATGTTGTTTGT